GGTAGGCGTGGTCCGAGGTGCTGGGGTCGGCGCCTGGGGGTATCCGTCTTGATTGATCCCGGGCCGCAGGCTATATACAACTTTTGTGTAGCGGTTACGCCCACGCGATCTCACCTAACCTTTGCAGCAGCTGATGCAGAACAGTCCACACCCCCCTATAAAAATACACCGATTCTGGAGAAGCTCTGAGAGACTCTGCACATCCGTACGATCCCGTAGTCTCAGAGTAAGTGATGGGGTAGCGCCTTTGGTCCTGTGCAGACTGCAGTCGTGCTGCTGGGATTGGTGGCTTGGTGGGAGGTGGTGGCATGGCTCTAACCTCCTGGAAGACCGTGACCAGGGGAGAAACCGTTTAAACGATTCAAGTGTTTATGATTCTGGGAAAATGAAGGTCAATAAAATATGACCTTTTCCATCAAGTAGTTAAAAACTGGTGGGGAATATAGGAGGGCATTACTCGGTGCTCCAAGAATGATACCTAAAGTTTTATAAATCTTTTCAAGGAGGTCTTGTGCCTCAGTGGTTAAAGTATTTGGCTGCTAACCGAAAGATCAGTGGTTGGAACTTACCAGCCGCTCCCCAGGAGAAAGATGTGGCAGTCTGCTTCCGTGAAGATTTACAGCCTTGGAAAACCCTATAGGGCAGTTCTACTCTGTCCTCTTGGATCGCTATCACTTGGAATTGACTGGATGGCAGAGGATATTTGGTACGGATTCTTCCAGGCCAAGGCTCCCTCCTAGCTTCTAAATATATGTTCTCTCCTAAGATGTCATTCATACACACGACCTCAGTTGCTGCCCACTGAGATGACTTTCCTATTTATATCTGCAAGCAATATTTCTTTTGAGCTCAGGATCCATATATTCAGCTGCTTAGTTGATATCTCCTCTTGGTCACAGAGGCCCCACATCCTCTACTAGTTGAATTGTTCCTGATCTCCCTACCTCCTACCCAAATCCCAAATTTGTCTCTTTTCTGTTACTTCTTGCTTCAGTACCTGTCACCATTATCCATCCATGCAGCTGCCAAAGCCAGAAATCTGGCCTATAATAATGAAACTCTTCTCCTTCCTCAAATCCCATGTGCAGTCTGTTACTAAGTCTCACCAGCTTTACCTCCCAAAAGAAATACCTCTTGACTCTCTCACCTTCTCCTTCCTCCCCACACCCCACTCAGGTTTAAGCCTACCATCAGGACTACTCTGGAGTCCAAAAAGACAAAAACAAAAACTCATTGCCACGTGTTGTTGTCATGTGCCATCGAGTCGGACCTGACTCATAGTGATCCCTTCTTGGGTTTCCGAGGCAGTATCACTACGGAAATAGATTGCTCAGCCTTCCTTCTGAGGACTGGCTGGTAGGTTTGAACCACCAGCCCTCTGGTTAGCAGTCAAATGCCTTAGGCTCTAGGCTACTCTGAACTGCATCCTAAATCACTTAACTGGTCTGCCCATCTACTCAGTTCTTCCCTCTACCTTCAGGTCCACTCTGCTCAGTACAAATCGAACCAAACCTGATACATAGCAACCCTATGTTGTTATGTGCTGTCGGGTCATACCTGACTCATAGCGACCCCTCCTTGGGTTTCCGAGGCGGTATTACTACAGAAGTAGATTGCCCAACCTTCCTTCTGAGGAGTGGCTGGTGGGTTTGAACCACCAGCCTTCTGTTTAGTAGTCAAGTGCCTTAGGCACTGTGCTACCAGAGTTCGACTCATAGCGACCCCTCCTTGGGTTTCTGAGGTGATATCACTACAGAAGTAGATTGCCCAACCTTCCTTCTGAGGAGTGGCTGGTGGGTTTGAACTGCCAGCCTTCTGGTTAGCAGTCAAGTGCCTTAGGCACTACGCTACCAGAGCTCCTAGAGTTTCCTATGTTATTGTTATGTGCCGTCGAGTCAGACCCGACTCATAGTGACCCCTCCTTGGGTTTCTGAGGCAGCATCACTACGGAAGTAGATTGCCCCATCTTTCTTCTCAGGAGTGGCTGGTGGGTTTGAACTGCCAGCCTTCTGGTTAGCAGTCAAGTGCCTTAGCCACTATGCTACCAGAGCTCCTAGAGTTTCCTATGTTGTTGTTGTTGTTGTTATGTGCTGTCGAGAGTTTCCAATAGGACAGAGTAAAACTGCTCCATAGGATTTCCCGGGGTTCCTCACCTTACTCTTACCTCCCTCCTTCACCTTGTTGCCCTTGATTCTGAGTTGCCACTGTTGGGCCTTTCAGTTAATTACTCCTCTTTTATCAGGAGTCCTGCAGTTGAGTTAGTTTATGCCCTTCACTCATTTTTTAATGGTGACCTTATCTGATGTCTCAAACCAGATTGGAGGTCCCTGATTATGTGCTTTTCATTTCATTTCTTAGTCTTTTATGTTTTCGATTTTTTCATGTAATTGTGATTTTTTTTCTTTTATAATTTATTTTTGTTACTGAGAATATATACAGCAATACATGTACCAATTCAACAATTTGCACATGTACAGTTCAGTGACATGGATTACATTCTTATGCAACCATTCTCACCCTCCTTTCCTGCATTTTTCCTGCCCCCCGTAATGTAAACTCACTGCCCCCTAAGTTTCCCATCTAATATTTCAAGTTGCTGTTGTCAGTTTGATCCTATATAGCATAATGCTCAAGGGAGATATGCTTTACTAGTTAAGCTAAACTATTGTTTGGTTTTAACAAGACCTCAGAGAATACTTTTTTGTTTAAGGTTTAAAGATTATCTCAGGGCAACAGTTTCAGGGGTTCATTCAGCCTCCGGGGCTACAGAAAGGCTGGATTCCAGGAGAATTTGAAATTTTATTCTGCATTTCCCTCTTTTGATCAGGATTCTTCTATAGAACCTTTGATGAAAATGTTCAGAAATGGTAGGGTCTTACAACAAAGGGGGTAGTTGTTCATGGAGGCAATTAGCCACATACTGCTTTTCCTCCTCACATTCCTCACTCTGCTTGCCCTGTCCCTTAATGTGAATGGAGATTAAACACGATTATTAGGCCAGTTAACCGGGAAGTCCCATGAAACTATGACCCTAAACTGCCAAACCGAGGAACCAAATCCCACAAGGCGTTCGGTTGTTCATAAGCAGCCTCAACAGCTACTCTTTTTGTTGTTGTAAATATATCTAGCACGCAGCTTTTGCCAGTTCAGCTTTTTATATGTGTACAGCTTATTGACGCAATTACATTAACTGGCCGTGCAACCTAGTTTGTGTTTTTTTTTGATGAACGTCTGACTCTCCATTAGACAATAATGTGACTGGAGCCTGTTTCTCCTCACTGTGTTTCAGTGCATGCTACATAATAGATAATTCAGTAAGTATCTGTTGAATGATTAAATGAATAATGACTTCTGGGTGGAGTATCCCTAGAAGAGAGACTACCTTTGGCAATGAAGAATCATAAAGAGTTATATTATTGCTATTAGAAGGTGGGATGTGAGTGGCTTGAGCTAAGTATCTCTCAAGAAAACAGATATATCCTGAGAACATTTAATTCTGTAAGGAGTTGGAAAGGGAGGGATGGGAGTAAATAAGAATAGAAAAAAAGAGTTTGGAAGCAATTCTTAAAGTCTCTAAGTGGTTACCAACATAACTGAAACAGTGAGTTCCTTTTTCTATTTTTTAAATGCCTATGTCAGGAAGAAAAAGCAACTAGCAGAAGCCATTCACTGTAACTGCTCTTTGCCCCTCTCTTCCTTCCTCTTCCTTCTCCTGTAAGGTTAGTGCCATGATGGGGATTTCTTAGTTGTCTTCAAGATCTAACTGTCAGGTATTCCCCCATAAACTATTGTACAGATTACAAATTAGGTCTGCTTTATGAATGTTTCCATATATTTCTATGTCTGACAGTTTAAAAGGCTTCTCTGTACTCTGTAGTGAGTGTAGGGTGTGGTCAAGCCAGACTTCAGGGAAAGCTGGACAGTTCAGAACAAAAACTTACTTTTTTCTCTGAAGTTCAGGAAAGTAAGTTTACTTTTTTTTTTTTAGACTCCTGGAATTTTCTTTCTACAGAACGTCCTAACAGAAGGAGCCAAATGAAACCAAACCAAACTCACTGCCATCCAGTCGATTCCGACACATAGCGACTCCCATTGGGTTTCTGAGGCAGTAAATCTTCACAGAAGTAGATGGCCCCATCTTCCTTCTGCGGAGCAGCTGGTGCGTTTGAACTGCCAGCCTCCTGGTTAGCAGTCAAATGCCTTAGGTACTGCGCCACCAGAGCTCCTTAATAGCAGGAGCAGTGTACTTTAAAATCAGAATTGGTTCTGACTTTGTTACCTGTGTGTATAATCTTGAAAAAATTATCATTTCTGAGCCTTCAGTTCTTCATCTTTACAATCTCATTAAAAAGGAAAAACTTGCATGTGTAGAGTACTTGGCACACTGCCTGGCCTTCAGTAAGTACGTGTGCATCTTGTTCCTTCCCTTCAGAGCTTCTGTTATTTCAGTATTCCCAATGTCTGTCTTGTTTTCACTTTATTCCAAATGTGCACCTATCTTTTATAATATTTCTTGTATCCTTTTTTCTCCATTCTTCAAACCAGTGTGTGTGTGTTATATGACATGGTATAGATACTTTGGGAGAGACCCTGGTGGTGCAGTGGTTGAGCCCTCAGCTGCTAACAAAAAGTTGGTGGTTCAAATCCACCAGCCATTCTGCAGGAGAAGGATGTGGCAGTCTGCTTCCATAAAGATTTACAGCCTTGGAAACCCAATGGGACAGTTCCACTCTATCCTGTAGGGTAGCTGTGGGTCAGAATTGACTTGATGGTAGTGGGTTTGCATAGACTGTTTTCTGTTATGAAAATATTTCTACAGTAGAAATGGACTGATTTGACTTTTAATGGAATATGAGATAAATCTTTTAAACAATTGAATTCTGGAATGGGGAAATGATGAAATGAAAATATGTTGCCTATTGAGATATTGTTGAATTAGTTATTCTTAGTTAACCATTATTAAGATGTTTAGAGATTCGTAACTTCTTTGTGTTGATATTTGTTAGATATATTCAGAAGATGGCGGATCCTTGGCAGGAATGCATGGATTATGCAGTAACCCTTGCAAGACAAGCTGGAGAGGTATGAGCTAAAATATTTTGTCAACCTTAATGTAATGGATGTGTACTGTGTTGTTGCCTTGTTAAATACAACATGTGTTTTGATTAATTCCCATTTGTTTTTGTACTTTAAATGGAATGAATATTTAGTTCTGTGTCAGTGAGGGAGCCCCTGGTTGGCACAAATGGTTCAGTGTTCTACTTCTGACAGATGTTGGCAGTTCAAATCCACCCAGAGGTGCTTCAGAGGAAGGGCCTGGTGATTTGTTTCCAAAAGGTCACAGATTTAAAAACTCTGTGGAATACAGTTCTGCTCTAAAACACATGTAGTCTGCATGAGTCGAAATTTATGTGATAGTAACTGGTTTGGGTTTTTTTTTTTTTAATGTCATTGAGAAGTTTTTTTAGTAACAGTTGTGAATCTAAAGTAGGGTGTAAGATTATATAATCTGGTACCTAGGAAGCTATAAGTGCTAAACAGTTATTTTGTAGATACTGTGGTTAAGACATTTTTTAAGTATGTGTTTTAAAGCAGGTTCAATGTTTTGAACCATTTCTGTATTTCAGCTTTTAGTTTGATTTCATATTTATATATGTCTTTCCTATTTGCTTGCCAAAAACTGTTTTTTAGGTAGTTTGTGATGCTCTGAAAAATGAAATGAATGTCATGATTAAAAGTTCTCCAGCTGATTTGGTAACTGCAACTGACCAAAAAGTTGAAAAAATGCTTATCTCTGCCATAAAGCGAAAGTATCCATCTCACAGGTATTTATTATTTCAATTTCAGTTTTGATAAAATGAAGCCTGTGTTGAAGTTGCCATATTAGACAGATAATTTTTGTTCTGTACACAGAAACTAGTTGTTGTTAACATAAGCAGCAAAGAAATTTATTTGGAGGTATGGGCAGCTCAGGAACGCCGAGAACCAGGCTCAGGCAAGAATCATGGGAGAAAGACATGCAGATACCTGCTACTGGAGCCATTGTTTAGGAAGCCACTAGTTGCCACATGCCCCTGTCTTTACTCTGATGGCTTTGAATATTTCTTAGTTAGCCTTCTACCTTTACTTCAGTGACCCAAGATTACAAATCTAAGACAGAAATAACTGTTTACTGAGTTTAGAATGTTTGTCCATGCTCAAGCTGCTGTGGAGCAGGTAAGAGGAAATGCTTGGATTCCTTCATAATGAAAGGAGTATTTGGATGCTGGGCATCCAAAGTGACAAATGCCTCCCATAGACATCATGTAAAACTTCAGTTTTATTCTCTGAATTGCACACTTCTTGATGTAGTGGAGTGCTGGTCACTTTAGGGAGTTTAAGAGAGAACACTCAAATCAGGGCTGTCTTACAGACACACACACATAGCAGAAACATTGTCAGTACTTTAAAGCTTTGTTGTTGTTTTTGTCAGTTGCCATTGAGTCAGCTCTGACCCTTAGAGACGCCATATACAACAAAACGAAATAGTGCCCGGCCCTGTACCATCTTCAGGATTGTTGATAAGCTTGAGTCCATTGTTGTGGTCACTGTTTATCTGAGTGTCTTACAGTCTAGGGGGATCATCTTCCAGCATTTTATCAGACAATGTTCTGTTGCAATCTACAGGGCTAATTTTAGCAAGTAGATCACAAGACCTTTCATGTTAGTCTGTTTCTGTCTGGAAGTTCCGCTAAACCCTGTTTCCAAAGGGCCAAGGATGCCACATCTTCTGACCTTCTCTAACCCCACAAGAGGAAGACAGAATCACCATCAGCAGCCGAAGGCCTATTCCTGTGAAGCCAGATATGCTGCCTCCCTCCAGCCCTTTCACCAGCCCTGACACCAACCGTTCTTCCTGCAGCACCCACCACCTCTCTGGTGGGTTTGATAATTCGCTGCAGTGGCCACACAGATTATGGGGTTTATTAGGGAAGCACCAGGCTACAATTCAAGTACAGGAACAACACTCAGTCTCTCTCAGCCTGTCATCTCTCAGCCAATGGTCTCTCTCCCCACAGTGCATGTCTCTTGGTGTCTCTTTCTCAGCACACGTCTCTTGTCTCTCAGCAGCGCATGTCTCTCAGGAGCACGTTTCTCTCAGCAGCACTTCTTTCTCAGCCAGGAGTCAGAGAGACTCCTTCTACCTCTAGGAGGGCTCCTTTTGAGCCTGGCAGAGTGGCCAAACTAACCAATCATGACATCAGAATTCTAAATACCTGAGAGAGCGCGAACTTCCCAGAATATTGCTTTGTGCCACTTGCAACAGAAATACTCGAGGTGGATAACTTTAACAATCAGGAGCACCTCAGTTGCTCACGGCAAATTCCACCACGGAGTTTACAAAGACTTATGGCTAGAAAAGCCATACCAGGTCATTTACTACACCGTACCTGTCCACCATGGGTGACGCTGTTAGTATTTGAAATATATGTGGCAGAGCTTCCAACATCACAGCAACACACAAGCCATCAGGTGCAACATACTGGCAGATGGGTGGTGGTTTAAAGATTTATTAAAACCAAACTCAACTGCCATCGAATTGATTTGACTTGTAGCAACCCCCTTTGGGTTTCTGAGGTGGTAAATCTTTGGAAGCAGATTGCCCAGTCTTTTTCCAAGGAGTGGCTGTGGGTTTGAACCACCAGCCTTCTGGTTAGCAGTTAAATGCTTTAGTCACTATGCCACCAGAGCTCTTTAAAGTTTTATAAACACTGTCATTTTCTACTTCTTTCTGTTATGCCCAGCTCATTTTAGCCATTGAGAAGAAAAATATTTAATGCTATGACTAAATATACTTTTTCCCAATAATGAAGCTTACAGCTAAGAGCAAAAGAGATAAAAAAGATTATGATAATGATCGTTGGGATAGTTCAATGTTGAATGAAGAAAACCAATGCATTCTGGCACCATTTTTAAGATTTAATGTATATCATGTTTTGGGGAGGCATTTAGAAACACAGTAACTGGTGACAAATTTGTTTTTTCATTAACCTGTGTTCACATAGGTCACATTTACTTAATATCTTTGTTATCTAGTGTTGCTATAATAGAAATACTGCAAGTGGGTGACTTTAACAAACAAAAATTTATTTTCTCACAGTTTCAAAAATCCAAGTCATAGCGACCCCTCCTTGGGTTTCTGAGGCAGTATCACTATGGAAGTAAATTGCCCAACCTTCCTTACGAGGAGTGGCTGGAGGGTATGAACCACCAGTCTTCTGGTTAGCAGTCAGATGTCTTAGGCATTAGAAGTCTAAATTCAGCGTGCCAGTTCTAGGGGAAGAGTTCCTGTGTCAGCTCTGGAAGAAAGTCCTTGTTTCTTCTGAGCTTCTGCTCCTGGGTGAATCTTCATGTGGCTTGACATCTCTTTTCCCATCTCTACTGGCCCACTTGCTTGTTTTAATCTCTCTTATATCTTAAAAAGAAACTCTGGTGGAGTAATACCTAAGGTATTTGACTGCTAACCAGAAGGCTGGCGGTTCAAACCCACCAGCCACTCCTCAGAAGGAAGCTTGGGTAATCTGCTTCCGTAGTGATACTGCCTCAGAAACCCAAGGAGGGGTTTCTAAGAGAATGACTCAAGACACACCCTACACTAATCTTGTCTCATTAATGTAACAAAGGCATTCCATTCCTAGATGCATTATAACCATAGGCATAGAGGTTAGGATTTATAACACATGTTTTTTGGAAACACAGTTCAATCCATAATCCATTCTTTGACCCCCTAAAATTCATGCCCTCGCTGCAAGTCCAAAATCTCATCTTCTGAATTATCTAAATGAAATGTAGGTGAAACATGAGGTATATTCCATCCTGGGGCAGTATTCCTTTTCATCTGTGAACCTGTGAAATCTAAAATACAAGTTACCTGTTTTCAAGGTACAATGGTAGAACAGGTACAAGGTAGACATTTCCATTACAAATGGGAGAAAGTGGAGAGAAAGAAGGAATAACAGGCACCAAGCAAGTCTGAAACCCAGCAGAGCAATTTACATTAGTTCTCAAGGCTTGAAAATAATCCTTTGTACTTTGACAGTCTGTGGGCAATGGATGGCACCCTTCATACACTGGCTCTTGACCACACCCTCTGGATTCCAGGTAGAGGCCACTTGACCCTGGACTTTAGGCCCTCTGTCTTCAGGCCCTCTGGTATAACAACTCTGCTCCCTTAGCTTTAGGTGGCCCTATTCTCCTAGTCCATCTGCATGATGGCCCCATCCCCCTGGCACTTGTGAACAGAAACCACACACTCAGGAACCAATTTGGTGAAGGTCTGGTTCTTTGAAACCATTGAGATCCAGGAGACAGCAGCCCCACACTTTGAGGCCCAGAGGACCCTGCTTGCCATGTTTCTTCCAACAGTTCTGCTGATCTATGAGCTGTTCCAGAGATGGTCCTTTTCTTTTCTTGGAAGACAACACATGTAGCCTTTGGCATGTTTCCTCCCTGTAGAATTTCAAGAGGCAGACAGTATTTTTTCCTTTCTTTCTGTTTTCCCTTCAGTCTAAGCTGATGGGTTTTCTGCTGTGGTAATTGGTTAGATCCATCAGTCACAGGGTTAATCTCTTTAACAAAAAATTGTGTAGCCATAGTATTTTGGTGAATATTTTAGAACATTTGTCCTTAGTTTGTACAACAGAATTTTCCAAATCTTTTAAGTTCTGTTTTCGTTTTGCACAATTCATTTTTGAAAGCCATTTCTTTCCCCTTGCATTTTACTACAAGTAGCAAGGAGAAATCATGTGGTCCCTTTAAGATCTTACTTAGAAATTTCATCATTCAGATATCCAAATTCATCCCTTACAAGTCTGCCTTCCACAAAACATTCAAACATAATTTAGGCAAATTCTTTGCCACTGCTTTAAAAGCATTACCCTTCCTTCACTGTCCAATCATATGTTCATCATTTTGTTTTAAAGCCTCACCAGAAGCACATTTAACATTCACATTTCTAGGAAATTTTATTGCTAATACAATGCAATGTATTCTCTTAAAATGATAGAGGCTTTCTCTGTAGTTCTTCCGAACCAACACCAGTATTGCCTTTGATGTCCGTAATTCTACCTACAGTCTTTTCAGTACAATCTTTGCTTTTATTATTAAGGTACCTTAAAACTCTTCCAGCTCCACCAGTAACCCAATTCCAAAACCACTTCTACATTGTAGCTAATTGTTAGAGCAGCACTCCCACTTCTTGGTACCAAATTCTGTCTTAGTTATCTAGTGCTGCTATGACAAAAATATCACAGGTGGGTGGCTTTAACAAACAAAAATTTAATTTTTCACAGTTTAGGTGACTAGAAGTCCCAATTCAGGGTGCCAGCTCTAGGAGAAAGCTTTTTCTCACTGTCATCTCTGGAGGAAAGTCCCTGTCTTTTCAGCTTCTGCTTGGAGATATTTTGTGTCTTGGCATCTGTCTTACACCATCTCTGCTTCCTAGCTTGCTTGTTTAATCTCTTAAATCTCAAAAGAGATTGATTTAAAACACACCCTACACTAATCCCGTCTCTTTAACATAACAAAGATAACTCATCCAAGTGGGATTATAACCACAGGCATAGAGATTAGGATTTACAATACATTTTTGGGGGCATAATTCAATCCATAATACTTAATGTTCTCTAGATTGTCTATTGCTTCATAACAAACTACCCTAAAAACTTAGCAGCATTAGATAACATTTCCCATCTGCAATAAAAGCTCTTTTTAGGTGTGTGCCTGTGTGTGTGCACATACACTTGTTTGTTTTTGCTAACCGTGGTCTTACTATATTTTAGAAGTTTTAATTCTATTAGTTTTCACTTGTGGGGGAAATCAAGCTTACTTGATTTTATTAGTCTTTACAGGAAGAAAATAAGGAGCAACAATTGAGAAGTATAGTATACAGACTTTTGTTATGTTTTATAGTAGACTGTGTAGTTCTACCAGTATTATTATACTAATAAATGTTACTGTTTGAAAATTGTTGATAACTCTTTAAAGATTGGGAGTTTGCATTCTTGCTTTTAGTTACATTGGTGAGGAATCTGTGGCAGCTGGGGAAAAAAGCGTCCTAACTGACAGTCCCACATGGATCATTGACCCTATTGATGGAACAACTAACTTTGTACATAGGTATGTTTTTTAAATTTTAATATTATAGTTACTACTTGTACATTAATCAAATGGACCTTTAGAGTACCCTGTTCAGGAACATAAACACTTTAGAGAATTATGTAACTTGTTTATGCTTCTTTAATTTAAGAAAGGGTATATAAAATATAATAGAGCAAAATGTTTTATGCATAATTTCTACCAGATATTGGGGAGGAGGAGAAATATTAATGTGAAGTTGTCACATTTTTAAAATGTGGGACAATGCTCATGTATTGTAACATAAGAGAAGATTATAATGCAATGTTTATAGTATGTCCCCTTTTTGTTAAATTGAAAACTCAATACTAAATAATTCCAAAAGCTTTTATGTTCAGTAGTTTTGTCCTTTTTCTTGAGCTTGATTCTATTCTGAGTCATAAATTATAATGTATGTGTTCAAACTGCTGGGAAGCCATAGCAGGTAACAGTGACTAGCAGTTTACTTTTCATGTGTGAAGCTCCAAGTTTTATGTTGGTGTAGGGACAGGTAACAACAATTTATTCTGTAAAATTCAAACCTGTGTTTATCATGGGCCCAGCCTGTGGGTGGAATAACCAAAGAAAAAGGATTTTATTTTTTCCACTTTGCTCAATAGTATGAAATTAATTAATTATCTCTTAAAATAGATTTTTATTTAAAAAACAAACAAACAAACCCACTGCCATAGAGTGATTCCGATTCCTAGCAACCCTATAGGACAGTAGAGCTGCTCCATGGGGTTTCCAGAGCTGTGATCCTTATGCAAGCAGAGTGCCACATCTTTTTCCTGCTAAGCAGCTGGTTGGTTCAAACCGGGCCACCAGAGCTCCTTATTTATTTTAAAGAAGTGTCCTTAAATAAGGAGCTCTGGTGGAGTAGTGCCTAAGGCATTTGACTGCTAACTCGAAGGCTGGTGGTTCAAACCCACCAGCCACTCCTCAGAAGGAAGGTTGGGAAATCTATTTCTTAGTGATACCACCTCGGAAACTCAAGGAGGGGTCACTGTGAGTCGGAGATGACTCGAGGGCACATAATAGCAACAACAACAACAATAATCCTTAAAATAGTATATTCATGGGGTTCATATTCAGGAAATGTAAAAATGGTACACAGACCAGAGTATCCTTCCCAGTTCTGCCCCTCAGTTTCCTAGTACCCATCTCTGGAGGCGGCTGTTGTTATTAGTTTCTTGTGAATCTTTTCAGAGATATTCATGCCAGTAGAAGCAACCTGTATGTACAGATGTATGTATATAAACACGGAAGTGGTCGGTGTTGAGTTGACACTGACTTTGTGGTGACCCATGTGTGTTAGAACTGTGCTCCATAGGGTTTTCAGTGGCTGATTCGTTGGAAGTAAATCACCAGGCCATTCTTCCGAGGCACCTCTGGGTAGACTTCAACCACAGCCTTCTGGTTAGCAACTGAGACATCAACCATGTGCACCAGCCAGGGACTCCATGTGTATATATAGCTCCCCATCATTTACACAAATGAACACATGCATAGTGTTCTCTGTCTTGCTTTTTGGGGATAGGTGGGGGGAGAGTTTATAGGCAGTTCTGAAAGGTTTTGTAAAAAAAAATTTATTAGAGAAAATAATAAATATTTATTGAAATTTTTTTTTCTTTTTTTTTAAGATTTCCTTTTGTGGCTGTTTCAATTGGCTTTGTTGTAAATAAAAAGGTATGTTGTTTAAAACTTAAGGTTGATAAAATGCCTTGCTCTCATTTTCTGAGAAAAAGTAAATGTATTTTCATAATAAATTTGGTTCTGTCTCTATATTTAATTTTTATAACTGAATTATTTCAAATATAAGTGATAAGACTGTTAAAATTATCATAATACTTTTTCCAGTGAATAAATATGGTATTTTTTGAGAAGCAGGAGTTCTAATGAGAAGATGCTTAATAGTAACTAAAACACAATTCAGTATTCAATCACTATTATGTACGTGGTCATGTGGTCAGAAGGGACCATTCCCTGGAAAAGGATATCATGCTTAGTAAAGTGGAGGATCAACAAAAATCGGGCAGACCCTCAATGAGATGGATTGATACAGTGGCTGCAATAGTGGGCTCAGGTATAGCAAGGATTGTGAGGATGGTGCAGAACTGGGCAGTGTTTCATTCTGTTATGCATAGATAGGGTTGCTATGAGTTGGAGGGAGCTCTGGTAGCATAGTGGCTAAGACACTTGCCTGCTAACCAGACGGCTGGCGGTTCAAACCCACCAGCCACTCCTCGGAAGGAAGGTTGGGCAATCCTACTTCCGTAGTGATACTGCCCCGGAAACCCAAGGAGGGGTCGCTATGAGTCAGGGCTGACTTGACGGCACATAACAACAACAACAACAATGAGTTGGAGCTGACTCAATGGCACCTAACAACAACATTACATAAGTGGTAGGTCTTACAGGAGTTCAAGTATTACAGGAGTTCAAGTGTACTGAGAATTCTGATGGAAGAAGTAGGATTTGAGCTAAATCTTAGCTTTTAGGAGACACCTAAAACCAGGAAGTAGCAGCGGCCAAAGTACAGTGGGAAAGTACAAAGAATTTTCAGGGATCTAAACATAGTTGTACACTGATCTTTAACCCACTCACAGCAAACACCCTGCCGTCAAGTCTACTCCAACTCATAGCAACCCTATCGGATATAGTAGAACTGCCCCTATAGGGTTTCCAAGGCTGTGCATCTTTATGGAAGCCGACTGTCACATCTTTCTCCTGCAGAGCAGCTGGTGGTTCAAACCACTGATCTTTTTGTTATCAGCTGATCTCTTCAACCACTGCATCACCAGGGCCCCGAAATAAAACCGATTGCCGTAAAGTCAATTCCACCTCATGGTAACCCTGTGACACAGAGTAGAACTGCCCCATGGGGTTTCCATGGCTGTATTTAAATCTTTATGGAAGCAGATTGCCACATCTTTCTCTCGCAGAGTGCCTGGTGGATTCGAACCACTGACCTTTTGGTTAGCAGCTGAGCACGTTAACCACCACTCCACTGGTGCTCCTTACCTAGAGCCCAGTAGAGTAAAAACTGTAGCTGTTGTTTTTCTTTGCTGTTTGGCTATTTTTCCTGGCTGTTTTACCTTGCTGTTGGTCATACAATGAACTCTGCTCACTAACATCTTATATACCTGTCTCCAAGGAGTTTGTGATATATTTCATTAGTGTGTACACAAGACACTTGAAAAGTCTCTGAAAATAAAGACACAAATTAATACAAATGAAAGTTTAGGCATCAGGTGGTGTTAAGTGAAAACTTTCTCAAGGAGATGATTGAGCATTTAGCATATAGTCAGCCGTGGGCTGTGTGCTGTCCCTGTTCTTGAACTCACAGTTAGATGTATAAGCAGATAAATGACAACATGTGGTGGAACTGTGAGGAAAAAAAAAATTCTGTAGGATCACAGCAGAGAGTGTGACTACTTTTGTCAAGAGTAAGTTGGGAGAAAAATGTTTATGACATAATGGATCGTAGAAGTTGATTATTTGAATTGAGTCTTAGAAAATTAGTGGTTTTTCAGAAGAAGAAGAAGAAAGCATTTTAGTCAGCAAGAACAGTTTGGAGAAGTTGAAGAGCATGATATGCATGGGCCCTGTGAGTAAAGGACCTGAGGTGGCAGGAGCTGAGATTGATGAGGGAAGTTAGTTGTGACCATATCATGAGACGTTGCAGCTTATCCATGCCACAAAATTTAGGTTTTGTTTTCAGGCAGTAGGAAAACAGAAGAGGCTTTTAAGTGGAGGGTGCTATATAATTTATGTGATGGAGAGATTATACTGGAAGAGATAGGCGGGCAGTGGTTTTGAACTAAGATGGGGCAGTGAGAACAGCTGAGGGAATGCCAGAATCAGGAAATACTTTTGAAATGAAGGGTGAAGGAGGACACTTGTGGGGAAGAAATGAGGTGTGAGCAGGCAAGGAGTGATTTTGACCTCTTTGACTGAGGTTTCTGTAAGACTAATAGGTGGTTTGAAGCAGAGGTTCTACTATGATGATAGGGTTGATGGGAGCCGAAATTATAGATGATAGTTGAATTTGTGGACTGAAAAGAACTCATGTAAGAATATAGAAAGCTAAAAGGGAAATGGAAGAGGGAAAAAACCCAGATGTACACAATTTTAAGGGCTACACAGAGAAGATTCTAAAAAAAAAAAAAAAAAAAAGAGTCCTAAAATGGATTTAGTGAATGAAGTAAGAGAACTAAGAGAATACTGCCTGAAACATGGAGGTACTGAATTAAATATTGAAGAAATAGCTGATGGCAATAGTCTTAAGTTCTTCAGAGAAGGCTTTTATAAGAGTTCACTGGTGATCTCTGTGAAAGGAGTTTCTGCAGAATGAATGATCAAGATAGAAGCCAAATTACCAGTCTCATCATGGGTAATACTACATGGGGAATACTGCCCAGCCACTCAACCAGGCCCAGCCAAGTTGACACACAGACTTAACCACCACAAGAGGAGAACAGGAGATGCAAGTGTAGACTACTATTTGGAAGCGAAGAAAACATCTTGAAGAGATTAGGGTTGAGGGAAAATTTTGTGACTGAGGGAGACATCTGAGGGGAACATACCAGAAAAGAAGTCCAGGAGAAGAGGGATCAACTGATGGAGGAGTTTTCCAGAGAATCTGTGGAAGGGTAGGCTTCATAACATAGGAACAAGGACTCATTCACCTTGGAGAATAGGAAATCTTGGTCTTCATCTGAAGGAGGAGAGAGAGAGGTTTAGAAATGGATGGGGGTATGGGAATTTGAGGATTGCAGGTCTGATGATCTCTTTCCTCCGATTAGCCTGGAAATTAGCACTTCAGGCATCCCACAGTTAAGCCATTTGAACGCATTATTCATCAGTGTAATAGATTTTCATGTTACTTTCTTAGAAAAAGTACTGATTTAATGAAGAAAAATTCTCAGGTTTGGTTAAGGAAACTTGTTTCTTTCTGCAGATGGAATTTGGAGTTGTGTACAGTTGTGTGGAAGATAAAATGTATACTGGCAGGAAAGGAAAAGGTGCTTTTTGTAATGGTCAAAGACTACAGGTTTCACAGCAAGAAGGTAGGTTTATTTTCTAATTTTTGGTGGGACTATTATTGTATACTCTTTTTTTTTTTTTATGTTAACTTGTGGAATTCTCCAAGTGTTAGCTGATTTGTAAGTTGTGTTTATTTTCTCTTCCCTTTTTTATTTTGAAATCAGTTTTGAATGTAGTTATTATTAGTCTCTGTCCAGTCAGCTGTGAGTCATGGTGACCTTATATATAACAGAATGAAATGTTGCCCAGTCCTTTGCCATCTTCATAGATACAGTCACCAAAAAAAAAAAAAAAAACAAACTCTGCCATTGAGTCATGTGACTGATAGTGACCCCTCCTTGGGTTTCTGAGGCAGTATCTACAGAAGTAGATTGCCCAACCTTCCTTCTGAGGAGTGGCTGGTGGGTTTGAACCACCAGCCTTCTGGTTAGTAGTCCAGTGCCTTAGGTACTATGCCACCAGAGCTCCCTCATAGATACAGTAGTGGAGGCAAATATAATTCAACATACATTTCAGACTCAGTACTGTGCTGGGGATAAGAAGATGAGTGACTGGCTCTCTGCCCTGGTGGAGCACATAAATTGTTGTTTCAGCCTTTGCATTTCTTATTCTTCATAGAGTTCCTTTTATCTGATGCCATCGGGACATTTATTAGACAATAAATTGAAAAAGAAGTTTATCTTAAGAATCGTTAAAAATGATTAAAAATCATACATAAATGTTTTTAATAAGCTAGGAGATGAGAATTTTAAGTTGTCTTTTTATGTGACAGCTGATTGAAGTTTTGAGTCCCCTTTCTTGCATAAACCCTGTCTAAAACATTTTCCAGTTTGCCACTTCAGATTCTTTTAAGTGCAGCAGGAACTTAAAGATAAACGCAAAACAATCTGCGTTCAGAAGCCCTTTAGAATATCACATTTTCTCCCTCATTCATTTATAGTTGTCCATCCTTAATTTGAGAGCAGATCTTTAGTTCATTGCTTTTTCATCGAACTGTAAAACCCTCACGATTGGAAGATACATACTAATTTCGGAGATACTAACGTGTGAGAAATACGAATCTTTGAATAGAAAGAATGTGGTAGTATGCATTGAAATAATTCCCACTTTATATTAATTTTTTCACTTTACATAATATTTAATTATATAATCATTAAAAGAAGTACAACAGTTACAGACATGTTTGGGAGCAAACACAGTTGGTAAGCATACATGTCAATTAGTGAGACTAGGTGCAGTGTGCAGGTAAACTAGAGAGCAGCCTATTAGCCAAGCACTGAGTGTCTTGAGCTTCAGTAACAGTGTTTTCAGAAGGATTGGAGAGCACTTGAATAATCTGTCAGATTTGTAAGTGGAGGTTAGATAAAAGAGCTACCACTTAGTTGGAATCACTACTACTGCTTTATTTCAAATCTACATATAAATTCTTTATTGAATTAATTTCTGAATTCAGCTTTTTGTATTTAAGGTATTTGCTTATTGCCTGTTGAAGTTTTTATGTACACAGGCAAATCAATTTTATTCTGTACTTTTCTTGGGAATAGTCCAGTAAAGTAGACTCCTTCATGAATATATAAATGATCAGTTGGAGATAAATTTATTACTATTCTGATATTTAAAGGCTTAGAAAGAAACAAATTTGATAAAACTAGGAAAAGGGACAAAAATGCTCTGTATTATTCTGAGTTACAAATGTCAAATTTTCCTCCAGAATTCCAGTTATTAAAAGTTAGTGATGATTTAAAACATTTTCTTTTAGATATTACGAAATCACTATTGGTGACAGAGTTTGGCTCTTCCAGAACACCAGAGACTCTACGAATTATCCTTTCTAATATGGAAAAGCTCCTTGCCATTCCTATTCATGGGTAAGCTCTCTTCATTTCCTACCTAAAGTTTCAAATAATTTAATATGTTAAAAGAATATGTTTTTCTTCAGAGATGAACTTTATATTAACAGACATGTGATGGGTAACATAATTATAACTTTATAATGTAACTTTTAAACTTTATATTTGAAAATAGTATAAAACTTACAAAAAGTTGCAGAAATAAAAACAGTACAGAGAATAATAATACATACTTTACTAGATTGACCTTTCACGTATCATTAACATTTTATTCCATTTGCTTTATCGTTTTAGTGTGTGTTCACATACTCTCTTTTTCTCTGTATGTATGTTATGTGTGTAATCTGCCATCTGTATTCTAATCTTGTTAGTTTATCTGATGATGTTCCTTACAGGATTTTCCCTCCTCTAATTCAATCTAGAGTCAGGTATTATGTTTAGTTGTCAGATCTCTTTAGCCTCCTTTTATTTGGAACATTTCCACAGTCTAAGACATTATGCCTTGCCTCTGAGTTTTCAAATTTTTTTGCAGAGATAGATACATAAGGTAGTCTCATGCTTTTGTTTGGATTCTTTTGTATCAATTGTCACTTCTTATTGTGTTTTCTTCTTTTTTTAATCTTGGCTAAATTAGCTAGTGGTTTGTCTGTTTTATTTTTCCTAAAGAAACAGGATTTTTATTTAATATGATCTACTATGGATTTATTTTGTTGTTTTTGTTCACTTTATGTTTCCTTCTTGAGTGGAGAACTTATTTTTTTTTTTGTTCTTTGATTTTTATTGACATTAGTATTTAGGGCTATAAATTTTCATCTGATCACCGATTTAAATGTATCCCATAGATTCTGATAAGAAATATTTTGATTATACTTTCTTTTTGCACAGATAACGCAAGCCTGCCTTCTGCATTTGTTTGCCAACCCCACCTTTCCCCTGTGAGGTGTTATTTTTACATGTTGCTGTAAAAACATTAATATAGCATGCTTATGAAAATGCCTTGGATTTGTGGAGCAGTTGGCAAACAAATGTGGAAGACTTCTTTTATTTGTATAAAATACGGTAATTAGTTTTAATATATTCTGTAGTATCTGTTTATATTTCCCCTTTAACCAATGCAACAAAACGCAGCGTGCTGCCATTGAGTCAGATCCAACTCATAGTTGACCCCTCCTTGGATTTCTGAGGCATCACTACGGAAGTAGATTGCCTAACCGTCCTTCCAAGGAGTGGCTGGTGGGTTTGAACCACCAGCCTTCTGGTTAGCAGTCAAATGCCTTAGGCACTATGCCACCAGAGCTCTCAATTAGCTATAAAATAGCTGCAAATGCTTTACAATTATAAGCCTTTTTTTTTTTTTTTTTTTGGCCATTGACAAATAAGTACATGTTGTTGTTAGTGCCATCGAGGCAGTTCTGACTCATAGCGACCCCTGTTTACTCCAGAACAAATCACTGCCTGACCCTGGGCCTGGGCCAGCCTCACAATTATAGCTCTGCTTGAGCCCACTGTTGTAGCCACTGTGTCAATTATCTTGTTAAAGATCTTCCCTTTTTTCGCTGTAACCTTTTATTTCCAGTTTTTCTTCAAAAGTGTAACCAGGGAAACATCAGCAAAGGAGAGGTAGTGACCTATTGATTTATTTTCATGATCTCTTGTATTCAGCCAATTCTTTAGTTTTTCATTTGATTTCAGAAGGGTTGGTTACTTAAGCCAAAGTGAAACTGAAAAAATCATGATCTGAATGAATGACTTAAACAAATAGAAAAAGTCTAATATGTTCTTTCTAACTAAGAAATGGCATGAGGTAAAGTAAGTAAATCACTGTGGATTCATCCCATTTGTTTACTTTTTAAGGATTCATTTAAATCAAATGTGTTGTGTCTCTACTTATACACAGACATAATACCTTGCTTCTAAACATTTCAGCGTGTGTTTCCTTAAAAAATAAAGGACATTCTCTAACATCACCACAATACAATACAAAAATTAGGAAATTAACATTAATACATTATTTGAGACTTTATTCAAATTTTGAAAAAACTGTAATCTAGGATCCAGTCCAGGATCATATCATATTTAGTAGTGATTTCTCATTAGTTTCCTTTACTGTGGAATAGTTGTTCAGTCTTTGTCTTTAATGACCTTGTAAGACTTGAAGAGTACAGGCCAGTAATTTTGTGGAATGTCTCTTGATTTGTTTGTTTGCTTATTTGTTCGCTCATGATCAGATCTAGTTTATGCATTTTTGGCAGGAATGGCACAGAAGTAAAGTTCTGTGTTCAGTGCATCCTATCAGGAGGCATATGATACATCTTTGTCACGTTATTGGTGGTGTTAACTTTGATCACTTGGTGATGATATACTCACTGCCGTTGACTTGATTCGACTCATAGCGACCCCTCCTTGGGTTTCCAAACCAGTATCTCTATGGAAGTAGATTGCCCAGTCTTCCTTCCAAGGAGTGGCTGGTGGGTTTGAACCACAGCCTTCTGATTAGCAGGCATATGCCTTAGGTACTACGCCCCCTGTAAAAATAGTATTTTTCTCATTGTAATGCTTTGACAGTATGTAAAATATTGTTTCTCATTAAACTTTCACCTGTAGTTTTAGCATTTATTGATGATTTTTTCCTGAATCAGTTATTACTATAATGGCTACCAAATAGTGTCCACAGTTATCTTAAGTTGGTCTGTTTACAAGGAAAAGGTGCCATGAGGAGGCAAACCTAAAGTAATCTTCCTAGGTGGGCCTAGGTATGTGCAGAGCCTAGATGTGCTGTTACCCCGGTAGTCACATGTTCTGGTGCACATGCAATTGGGAATAATCACTAGCCTGATATTTTAACCCTCTTAGATAATACTGTATTGTGGGCTGTACATGTGTGTGCACACATGCATGCATGTGTATATGTAAAACAATACAATCTGTAATCTCTGGCTTTGTAATCTGTAGTCCCTGGGTTTAGACACATACGAATATACATGTATACCATTAGAGTAGAATTATAGCATTCAGTAGGTTTTACAATTTTTTTCTGAAAAATTATATCGTTGTCTTAAAATTGGTCTTACTAACTGTGGTAGTTCAGTTTGTGTGTCAGCTTGGCTGGGCCTGGTTGAGTGGTTGGGCAGCTGGTGGTAGTTATTCCCCGTGATGAGACGGGCAGTCAACTCCATGGTGGAATCTACTACAAGCAGCTGAGTAGCTGCCTTTAGAATGTGGTCTGCTTCCTATATAAAAGGAGAAGCTTTGAGAATGGTCTCTAGCATATGGCACGCTTGGACCCTGCATATAGCTGTCATTGCTCAGCAGCCTGCTATGCTCTGCCGACCTTGGGACTTACAGTGGACTTAAGTTAATGGCCTGCCGTGTGGTTTGGTAACATCAGGACTGTGCCCTTTTTACTTGTCAACCTTGGGGCTTCTCAGCCTCAGCAGCCAGCAGCTGTCTGAGTGAAGAAATGCCTCTAGCTCCAGTGTGCCAGGAGCAGGAGGCAGAGCTGGATCCCAAGGTTGAGGGGCTTTCACCCAGACCCTAGAGCCTGGCACTTTGAACTTGGACTTAAAGCCTCTCAATTGTTAGAATAAACTCCTGTTTGTTAAGGCCATTCCATTTGTGGTATATTTCTTGTCAGAGTGGCACTGGGTAACCAGAACACTAACCAATTGCTTTGTGAGGATTAGTTTTGTAAGTTACAGCACACCATGATAATTAGATTTTCCGTATTTTTATTGCAAAAGTCTGCCATCTTTTTAACATTTCTCATCTAGATTGTTTCAAGACACTATGATAATTAGATTTTTCAACATTATACCACCTTTTTAAACATTTATCCTCTAGATTGTTTTGAGTTCTCTCATTCAATGCTTGCAATAAACTGAAGTTAAAGAGGAATACTTTATTTGAAAGGAATATTTTTTTCCAATTATATTTTTAAATGTTACTTGTTAGGATCCGGGGTGTCGGAACAGCAGCTATTAATATGTGCCTTGTGGCAACTGGAGGTGCAGATGCATATTATGAAATGGGAATTCACTGCTGGGATATGGCGGGAGCTGGCATGATTGTTACTGAAGCTGGTGGTGTGCTGATGGATGTAACAGGTAACATTATGGGACTGTAAAACATTTTTTTCTTCCTTTCAGTTATACTTTCATCTATATATGGTTACTGGAGAAATAAAAATTGATCCATGTTATACTTCAACTCTTTTTTTTTTTTTGTATGTAAAATTTACTTTTATTTTCTTATTACAAATTTTTTTTTTTTTT